AACAGAATGTATGATCATCAGAATGATTTATTTTAACGTGATATTAACAGCTTCCAAGGAGTTAATTATCCACGAAGGATAATTTTTATCCGGGTACACGTCCAACATGAACTGCTGTACAAATTCTGGGAATCTTTGATCTTTGATACTCCGCCTGATGTCTCTCATCAGTTTCATTTGGAACGCGACGTTGTGCAAGGACAGCAAGTGACAGGCCACCGTTTCTGCCGTCACGATATGATGAAGATAAGCACGTGTGTACGCTTTACATGTACTGCAATCACACGATTCGTCTATCGGCCTCGTGTCTTTACGATACCGAACCTGTTTCAAGTTCAACTGACCCGTGCGCACTAACGCGCAACCGAATCTCTGAAAAATAAATGTAATACATGCACATGTTCATTCAATTCGAAAAAGGTAATTTCATGATTACCGCTGTTCTCGTAGGGAATACGCAGTCGAACATATCTATTCCTAAAGCGCAGCAAACGACTATATCCACAGCGAATCCAACACCCATTAAATAACGCGGTTTGCCTTTTGGAAGTATGTTCGCCGATAAGTGGACCATCCTCCAAAATTCATCTTTCGATTCTCCGCCACTGAGGACACGATCAGTTAGAATAATTCTTTTTTTATGTGAGCCGACAGACGAATTCTTACTACCTCAAGCCTCCTACAGCGTAACCATTTACTTCACGCTTTATCAATTGATTCGCGCATTCCGATCTGAGTTCAGGATTGAGACCTCCTTGTACGATTGGAAATACGTTTTGCTCGTTCGGTCTTTGATGCGCTTTTATGCATCTGTCTAACCATCTAATCGTTCTAGAGTACAAATGAATTGTTGGAAGACATTTCAATTGATAATTCTTGTATGACCCATTATTTACCTATGCATCGCTTCTTCTACTCTTGGACCCGTCAGCGTAGTTTTAACTACATCGTCTAGTTGCATCACTATATCTGCTCCTATTATATTTTGTATTTGTATAGAGTGTTCAGGAGTCATCATACAATCAGAACCTACGAATCAATGATTATTTTAAACTGATCGTTTCTCTTTATGAAATACTCTGCCTAAATTATAAGTTACCATTATATGGTGATTTGAATTTAACACCTTCCTCCGTAATTTCAGCCAGCTCTAGCAACGATACCATTTGGAAGCCACCGGAGTCAGTCAAAAGAGCTCGTTTCCAATTCATGAATTTATGCAATCCCCCAGCCTTTTGCAAAACGCTCAGACCCTTGAAAGCAACTTTTCTTCATCAATAAAACGTCTCTGTCAATCCTCGATTTAAATTAAACGAACAAGCAGCAACTACAGCTCCTCAAAAACGTTTTTCACTTACAGGTCTCGTACCAAGATGATACGTGTTTCCCAGTATAATCTGACAATCCAGTTGTTCTAACTGTTGTGGTAATAAACCTTTTAAAGTACCCTGATCAAAATTAAAGTAGTTTACAAATGGTCGTTTGCGTATCGTTTTGGAAATATATAATTCAACTCACTTGCGTGCCAACTGGCATAAACACAGGAGTATCTACGTGATGATGAACAAGAGTCATTCTCCCGGTTCTTGCTTTCGATATCTGACATTCATTAAATATTTCGAACAGCAACGGGGGTTTCGTGTGTTGTGTCATTTTTTTAAGTTGATTAATCTTGGAAAACGCTACGTCAACTAGTGGAGTCTGTATGAAATCAATCACGTTTCATATCTCTAATAATAATCGTATTTCTTCGCAAATTATAAAAAACGATTGACTGATTTTACGCGAGATCTGTACATAAATATTAATCGAAAGATTACTCACGGCTATCTATCTATTTAACTCTTGCAAGCTCGTACTCCTAACCTAACTCGATCTTTGGATCATTAAGCTAACTTACTACTTTTAAGATTAAATTTGTATGTTTCAATTGATAAATATTTAAATCTTGCAATATTTTATTGTAATCTATAAATGAAATTGCTAAAACCATCTGGAATGCAGTTTGATCCGCGCGATTTTTTTATCTCATAAAAAATTCGTATCTACGAGATGTCTGAATAGGAGGTGGGAAACATTTGAGGAAATGTAAACAACAAAGAGACGATAAATGAATGAGAACGACTATTTTTATTTCTCTTTTTTCATATACAATAATTAATTTCATATAATAATTAATGCTTTCGTTTTCTTGAATCGATACGTGAATGATACTGATGTAATTTTATTTTGAAATTGAATGTAAAGGGAATGTGAAA